ACTTTTTGTTTGCTTTGTGTAAGGGAATTCTAGTTGTTGAGGCTATTCCGTACTTTTAGTTGGCGTAAAGATTGTTTCTCCAACTTCATGTGATTCTATGGGACGTGAGACCTTTGTTTCCTTATCCAGCTTCCTCTTGGTTTACTCTTGCATTATCTTCATTTACTAATCTTTTGTATCTATTTTCTTCATACTATTTTTATGTTTTTTTTTTAAAATACTGTTTTAACGTATAAATATGCAGGAGATAGCCTTGCAATTTTGAGAGCAGAGTTGAAAAGTCAAAAGAAACATGTTAAAAGCTTGAAAAAGAAGTCTCTTTGGTCCAGGGTATTGGAAGAGGTAGCAAGTTAGTGCTGCTTTGTGTTCTCTTTTATTCTATTATTCAATACTTGTAATGTGGTTTCCACTTGCTGAACAAGATGGATGGACTTGTTTAATAAAAACCATTGAGGTTCCTTTCAATTGACTGTACTAATATGTGCTTTGCCATAATTGAAGGTGATGGAAAAGCTCGTTGACATTGTTCACTTCCTCCATTTGGAGATCCATGCTGCATTTGGCAGCACTGGTAATGCATTTGAAACTTCAACTTAACTTTTTATCATGGTTCTTGGCCTGTTATACAAAACTGTTTTACCGAATTATAAATTTTTTGACCTGATTGCTATAGTTTTACTGAACCTTGCAGATGGAGACCGACCAATAAAAAACAACCATCAGAGATTAGGATCTGCTGGTCTTGCATTACATTATGCGAATATCATTACTCAGATTGATACACTTGTAAGCATCTTATGCACATACAATTATTCGAGAAGCTGCATTATTGACGCTCTCATTAAACCTTTTGCCTTCATTCATATCCTTTATGGAACATGGAAAAAAGTGGGTATCTTTCCCCCTTAAGCTAATATGCATTTTTTTTGTTTCTTGTCATAAATATATCAAACATTTATCTTCCTCGTTAATGTTCTGTGTATTCTCAGTTGATCATCATCTTAATCCCAATATATATGCTCTCATCTCATTTTCTTCTTTCATAGAGCTGTATTCTCTCATCTCTTTTTGAAGTTACAAACTTACAATGAAGGATGGAGGTGCATTAATTGGGACCACAAACAAATGCCACAGAATCTGCCACATTGAGAATATTCAAATTGCCATTGAATTTGTGAAATTCATATCACGACTAGAATTTGAAAGCGATAAATGGAAGTCCCAAGATTAGCTTGCTTATTGTGTTATTTAGAAAGCAGTACTTTAAGGTGTTGATTCTTTATAGAAGGCATTTGGATTCTTACTCTAAATGCGTTCATGGTTTTCACTATCTCATCCACTTACTTTTAGATGAAGACGTTACACATAGAATAGAATCAAAGTCAAGATAGTTGAAAGGGAGAAGTGCTACTATGGTATCGGAGCCAACCCATCCTTTCGGAGGGAGAAGTGCTACCGGGATGTTATGTTATAAGGATGCCTACTAAAGTGAAAGTGAAAGGAAATTTTGTAGAATAATTATAAGACCAACAATGTTACATGGGGTTGGAATGTTGGGCTGCTATAGTCCAACACATCCACAAGATGAATATTGCAGAGATGAGGTGCTAAGATGGATGTGAAGTCATACAAGGCTAGACAAGATTAGCAATGACAAAATTCGCTAGAAGGTTCAAGTAGCGCATATCGAGGATAAAATCAAAGAAGGTTGCTTGAAATAGTATGGTCATGTCTTGTGTCGGCCGCCAAGATGCACTGGTTTGTAGATGTGAAACCATGAGGAATGAAGGTGTTAAAAAGGGACAAGGTAGACCTAAAATCACTCGGAAGGAAATTTTCTCGAAAGACCTACAATTTCTTAGGATCCGTGCAAACTTAGCGAAATGTAAAGCACAATGAAAGGAGAAGATATATATATATAGGACTATAGGAAATACCTATTAGTTGAGAAAATGTTTTAGTTATGTTGGCACTTTTGTTTTATGTCGTATGCTTTTCGAGGAGTTGTTTAGACTTTCAGAGATTTATATGTCATTTATATGTCAGTAGAAAATACAAAGAACTTCTAGTACCTTTTAATTAATATTTTGTATAATATTGGTGTGAGATGAGTTTAAATGGAGTAACATGGTTAATGAGGATTCATATAGCCGACCCCAACTTGTTTGGATTGAGGCGTAATTGTTGTTGTGTTGTTGTCCGAAGATGTTGGATTATTATTAGGTGGGCCTATTACACATCAACTTAAGCACCCTATTTCTTTTTTATTTGATTTTGATGTTTTGACTTGTTTGTTTGAATAAAGATGTAATCTTTTCTTTGTCACCCCAAACGTTCTGGTCCTCGTGTATAGCTGGCTAATATACATGCCTCAAGTTGACCCTTGTAAATGTTTGAAGTCAATTGTTGGTCACTCTAGGTGGATTATTACCCATGTTCGAATTTGGTGACTGCCTCAAATTCTTGAAGGTTTATGCTTTTCTTAAAAGATTCTCTCTAGACAGCCAAATACATTGTTTCTTTTTCAGTAAAGGTCCCTTAAGTATTGGAATCATATGGCTTACAGTTTTTACAATCTTGCTGAAATTGTAACTAATTGGTATTTTGGATTAGCATCCATGTTAACCTACTAGGTTGTCAACATTTTAAAAAATATTTTTAAATTTAGTTAGTTGTTGACATATTTCTAATTGGAAAATACAAAATGAGAGTACCACATTTTACATGATCAGGTTACTCGATCAGGTTCGGTGCCCCCAAATACAAGAGATGCTTTATACCAAGGGTTGCCACCAAGCATAAAGTCAGCTTTGCGATTCAAACTGCAATCGTTCCAGCTCAAGGAAGAGGTGTTTTCTCGTTTAAGGTTTTTGTGTGTGTGGGGAAAGGGGGGGGGGGGGTGCAAGTTTCTTCCTTCTAGGTAATTGAATGTTAATAACACTCAATATTCTTTTGATGCAGTTAACTGTGCAACAAATCAAAGCTGAAATGGAGAAAACACTGCAGTGGCTTGTTCCCATGGCAACCAATACAACCAAGTAAAAATACGATGCCTTACAATATATTTTTCTTTGCTTACAGTTTTTCCATGATTCTTCATATGTTTCTTAGTCTGAGGGACTTTCTTGTCAGCTATACTATGTTGGTTGGTAAAAGGAATTCTAATTTGAGTTTTCTTGAGACTCTTAATTCAGTGGGATGTTTGTTTGGAGGTTGTCCTTATAGATTTTACATGAGCTAAATTGAACATTATACCTTGGTGTATTTCAACTATTCTCTCCTTTGACTGTACTAGTTCAGATTGTTATTTCCATCATTGTTTCACAGTGTTAATGAAAATTGTTGCAGGGCCCACCATGGCTTTGGATGGGTTGGAGAATGGGCAAATACCGGGTGAGCTCAACTGAATGAAACTTGTTCTTAACTGCTTGAACCAGTTTTATGAAAAGCATGTATACTCATTTGGTCTGAAATGCACAGGAAACCTGCTGGCCAGACTGATCTACTTAGAATTGAGACACTCTATCATGCCGATAAGGAGAAAACCGAAGCTTATATTCTTGAACTGGTGGTGTGGCTTCATCATCTTGTCACTCAGTCAAGAAATGCTACAAACGGTGGAATTAGATCTCCTGTGAAATCTCCAAGCTGTTACCCTAATCAAAGGATGAATCAGTTAACACACAAGCCAAGTTCTCCATTTCCTGCATTAACTGTTGAAGACCAAGAAATGCTTCGGGATGTAAGCAAGAGAAAACTGACTCCTGGAATTAGCAAGTCTCAAGAATTCGATACAGCAAGAACAAGGTTGAGCAAGTTCCATAGGCTGAGTAAGAGTAGTAACCATTCCCCTATAAGAGAAACTAGGAAGGACCCCTTTCCCATCAGGAGACCCTCTTCTGTTCCAGTGATCGACTTTGACATTGACCGACTCAAAGCTTTGGACGTCATTGACAGAGTGGACACCACTCGAGGTTCATAATGGTACAATATTATAGCTGCATTGGCAGAGAGGGATCTTTTATTTGATGCGTCGTCTTTCTACTGCATTTGATTATTTTCCGCTGAAATGGCTGCCTTTCTGCGCGAGCTGAGCCGATCATCTTCCTCTGGTGCCTTGTATTACGACTTAGTTTGTGTTGGTGAATCAGATGTCAGAAACACGTTGAAGTTCTGCAGTCTGTTCTGCTGCAATTTTTCCAGTAAATTTAGGGTACTATGACTAGTGAAAGTGATTTTTTGTCTGTGCCTTTTCCGTTTTCTAAAAAAGAATAGTTGGGATACAGTTGAGCTATCTGGTATCTTGAAACCTCTCGGGAAGAGCTGGCGGATAGGTGGGTGGGAGAAATTTGATAGAGCTGAGCTTTTTAGTAGAGGTGAAGTAATGTGACTCCCACAATTCCATCATCATATGTACAGAATGTTGTTCTATATTATTTTTCCCTTAATAATCAAAAGCAAAGATTTGTTCCGTATTAATGGAGAGTATTTTGCCTAATTACCATTCATAGCTATTGTTCAAAGGATGCAATATGTGTCGATTGTATTTGTTCCCACAACGAGTATAATTAAGGTGAACTATAGAAATATAGAATGCTTTCGTTGAGAATCGAATTCAAGACCCCTGCTTAGTAAACATGTGGTCTAACCAACTGAGCTACAAATGCGAGAGTTCCTCTCTTGTTTTAGTTCAAAACAACTGATCTCTTGTTTTAGTGCTACATATGAATTTGTTATAAAATTCTGTAATTTTTTGAAAGTATAGTTACAAATGATAAATACATTATATATATATTTGTTGTGTCACGTAATTTTAAGACAACCCCTAAGCTAGTCCTCTGCAAAAGAATTACACGCTCTCTAATAACTGGACTTCCGTTTTAAAAGACCTAAGTCACGGAACACTCTTAATTTTCCTCTTCTCAAGGAAGTGTAGAGCATTTCACATATAATGAAGAGGTAGATTCCATTTTTGATGTCTACCATTTCCATTAGAGCAATCCAGAAAAGACAAGAGGGAAAAAGCAAGAGATCAAGAACTGGAGAAGAGAAAGAGCTTTTCTTTCTTCTTTCTCTCTGGCGCTCTACAAGGGCGCCAGAGGTCTTTTTTCCTCTTAGAGTTATTAATCATTTTGAAAAAGGAAAAAGAAAAGAAGGAAGAGAGAACAAGAACATCTCCTCTCTCTGTCTATTACTACGTTTTTCCTTTTTCAGTACCTTAAATGGTATTCCCATTTTCCTTCTCATCCATATTTTTTCATCCTTTTTTGATGTACGTTCTTTTACTTGTGACATAGAATATATATATATATATATATATATATATAAGATTGATACTGAAACACATTCCTTCTAGTGATTTTGTTTTCTGTAACGTGAGAATATGTTATATGATCTTTTTTTGTTTTGGCATGTAAGAATGCCAATATTCTCTGATCAAGTCGAGCTCGACTTTGTTACAGAAACCAATTATCTAGTTCAGTAGCATAGCTAGGCCGAGTTGAGCTACAAATATTCTTGAAAATCTTAATCCATTATAGGAACAAGACAGTATTTCCTTTCTTATTATGATCAACCATATTAATTATAAAATACACAAAAAATTTCCTTCTTTCATCATTATAATGCAACAAATTCAACATGGTTATAAATCTCTATTTAATATTATAGGGGTAAATTTCACAAATGGTCATAGACTCGTATAACTATGACTTTTTTTCACCAAAGTCATATAACTATATTTTTTCACACAAAAAACAGCTTTCCGGTAATATTTTCTAATTTCATATTTTTTTATTTTTTATTTTGGTCTAATAAATAATAACCCAATTAAAATAAGAGAAACATACCTTTTTAACCTCTCACTTATTAACATTAAATTTTTTGTCATAATCAATTTCAGTCCAATCATTTAGATACATATATTCCCTCACGCTATAGCTTAGTACACAGAGTTGTCCTTTTTTATTTAGATGCATATAATTATTTGTTTTAAATATTTTCACAATTTTGTAGACCAAGTCATACATAACTTAAACACGGATTGATATTTCAATGGAGAGTGGTAGTATGGAAATGAAAGTTCAACAACCATATTTAGCTGTTCCAGTACTGCCACCACGTTGGAAGATAGTAATGGTGGCCTCCATAGCTGCTGGAGTTCAATTCGGATGGGCACTTCAGCTCTCTTTGTTAACTCCTTATTTACAGCTACTTGGAATTCCACACAGATATGCTTCAATTATATGGCTTTGTGGACCTATTTCTGGAATGATTGTTCAGCCTGCGGTTGGTTATTTAAGTGACAACCTCTCCTCCACCTTTGGCCGCCGTCGGCCTTTCATTGCCGCCGGCTCCTCCCTTGTCGCCGTCGCCGTCATCTTCATTGGCTTTGCTGCTGATATTGGACATGCTTTTGGTGATCCTCTTGATACAAAAACTAAGCCGCTTGGCATTATTACTTTTATCGTTGGGTTTTGGTACCTTGATGTCGCTAACAACATGTTACAGGTAAATGAAATTACAGCTTCACTTTAACATGCTCATATTGAAATTTCTTTTATATTTTTAGGTCTTACTAGTAATTTCTCACACAGAGTTATGTGAACCCAAAAAATGGTAATAGTTTAGGGCGGGTTTAACCTATTTACTCTTTATTATAGTGATGGACACATAGTTACCTCTATATAACTAACATTTTTATATAAAAACCAGTCAATTTTTTTTCGGAACCGATTTTTATGTTATGTTGTAATATATGTCCTCTATAACAACACTTCATTATAACAAGTAAAAAAATATCGAAACAAACGAGACTGTTATAGAGAGGTTTGGCTATACCAGTATATGACTTGTTGAACGAATTTTGAATGCAGGGTCCGTGCAGAGCATTCTTGGCTGATCTCTCCGGCGGGAAAGCCTGTCGGATAAGGACGGGACAGTCTTGCTACGCATTCTTCATGGCGGTGGGAAGCATTCTGGGGAACGCCGCCGGTTCATATTCTCACCTCTACACCATCTTCCCCTTCACAAAGACAGAAGCCTGTGGTGTTCAATGTGCAAACCTAAAGAGTTGTTTTCTGATCTCAGTAGTTTTATTGCTCACTTTAACAACCTTAGCCTTAACAGCTGTGGATGAAAAAGTGCTGCCACAGAAAGATCATTTCATCAACAGTGAATATTTGGGTTCATCAGGAAAAAAAGGAGGATTGTTATTTTTTGGAGAGATGTTTGAAGCTCTAAAGCATTTGCCAAGATCAGTGTGGATTCTTCTAATGGTCACAGCTGTAAACTGGATTGCTTGGTTTCCATTCACCTTGTATGGCACTGACTGGATGGGCAAAGAGGTATTTATTTAGCTGTATATATACTCTTTTCTTGCCTTGAGCCGAGGGTCTATCGAAAACAACCTTTCTATCCTCAAGATAGAGGTAAGGTCTGTGTACACACTATCCTCCTCAGACCCCACTCGTGGGATTATACTGAATTTTGTTGTTGTTGTTGTTGTTGTTGTTGTATATACTCGTTTCTTCCGTTTCAATTCATGTGTCTTCTTTTCGTTTATAGTTAGAATGTCTCCTTCTATATTAAGAACACCTCCTTCGTTTTTAGGGATTGTTTGTTTATGCGTGATTAGTAATGCAGACATTAGTAATGTAATGATTAGCTAGTAATACAAGAATTGTATACAAATATTAATTTTTAGTCAATCTAAAAAAGAATGACATACTTATTTAAAAGAAATTTAACTTAAATTTTTTCATTTACCCTTAATAAGATGATTTATAGCCACACAAATGTCTATAGTTTATTTTATATCATAAGTTTCAAAAGTCTTTTTTTCTTTCTAACTTTGTGGCTAGTCAAACAACGCCACATAAATTAAGACAAGAGGGTTTAATTTAAATAGTACTACTTGTTTACTTTTTAAAAAACAAATTTTTTTGACTATTATAAACGTTTTTAAACAAAACAATTTTTTTTACTATTATAAACGTTAGTTTTGTTATTTTAGCATCTTTAGTCCATGTATTACTAATACCCATATTCTTATTACACCGCATAAAAAAAAAAAATATTCTCGCTTAACTTATGCATATATTATTAATTTATGAGGAGAACACAAATTAAAGGAGCAACCAAGCATGAAGCTTCTTAGTTGGTTTATTTTTCCTTTGAACAGGTATATGGGGGCAGAGTTAGGGACGGGAATCTATACAATAAAGGAGTACATGCAGGTGTATTTGGGCTTCTGTTGAGCTCAGTGGTGCTATGTTTAATGTCACTGGGAGTGGAGTGTGTTGGAAAGTGGCTAGGTGGTGCAAAAAGGCTATGGGGGATTGTCAATTTCATCTTGGCTATTTGCTTGGCCATGACTGTTTTTGTTACAAAAATGGCAGACAAATCACGGCGATACGACGGCGACGGCGAACTTCTGCCGCCGGATCAAGGTGTCAAGATCAGTGCCTTGCTTCTTAATGCTGTTACGGGAATTCCTCTAGCAGTGAGTTCTTCTATTAACCTATCTGTAATTTGGTACTTTTAACACAAACAATTAAGTAATGCATTTAAGTACGTAATAGGATAAGAATTTAACCGCATTTTGGCTCAATTTTTAATATTTTATAAATTAATAAACATATAAATCATAAAAAAAGTAAAATTTGCACATTGAGATAAAACACATTGAGTGTTTGGTTACTGAGTAAACTAAAGGACAAAGAGAAAGGATTATGAAATTAGGGGTAACAACTAAAAAAAGCCTTTCTACATTTTTTGGTTTAACAATTTTGAATGAGCTGACTTTTGAGTATTTTTAAGTATTATAATTAAGAAAAAGACTTGTTAAACAATGTTGATCCAATTTGGGGAAATTCTATGTGCTTACGTCCCAATTGAATGCTCGGAAGGTTGGGATTCACACCTAAGCGAACGCATGGAAACTCTACTTAATTTAAAATATATCGTACACATGCTTATTAAGCAAGTAGTATCATTAACATCTGCATTTCTAGTAGTACAAAATTGACTTACGGTATGAAGACACGTACAACTACTATTACTTGCGTGCTAGAATATCATTAATCTTAATCTTACTATTAAAATGAAATTGACTCTACTTTTTATATCTCATCTTGTACAGGTCCTTTATAGCATCCCATTTGCTATGGCATCTATATATTCCAGTAATGTTGGGGCAGGGCAAGGTAATTAATCCTGAAAATTCTTGTTATGATGTTAATAACAATCAGATCAAAACTATATTTTTTAATTTGTTTTATTCCACAGGTCTATCACAAGGAGTCATAAATCTTGCAATAGTTGTCCCACAGGTAAAATAACTATAACTTTCTCACGTATATATTCTCGATGTCTTTTGCCTTTTCTAGTTTAAACAAATGTGACTGACGTTGGATATTTAATTTGCACCTCTCGGATTTTCATTTTCCTAACTTGATAATGTTTCAATGTTCGAAATCATAATAAAAAAAATAAAAAACAAAATGTATTTGTAGCCTAAGCCACAAACAATGGCAGTGATAATGCTAGAGAAGTGGAGTGTCAACGACCCACCCGGATTTTTCACCGTCGGGATTGTGATGACGCCTAACTCTTAGAATACTAGGCAAGCCAATAGATACAGTTCTAACATATTAATCAATAACCATAACAGTGATTAACCATAATTAAAACTAAACAAATATGAAGTGCGGAATTTTTATAACAGTTTATAACACTAATACACGACTACCCAAAAGATCTGGTGTCACAATTCACGAACTTTTAAGAATTTTCTACAAATACTGGTTTAAAAGAAATTCATCTGTTCTCGAAATAAAAGAAAACAGGAAACTAAGATAGAGGGAAGGGGACTCCAGTGTTTGCGAATGCCGGCAGATCTACCTTGGGTCTCCTGGTGGACTGAAGGCATCAACCCAACTCTACTCACGAGGTCCGTCACCGAAATCTGTACAGAAAGTGCAGAGTGCAGTATCAGTACAAACGACCCTATGTACAGGTAAGTGCCAGCCTAACCTCAGCGAAATAGTGACGAGGCTAAGACACGACAACAATACAAACCTGTGTAGTTAAATTATATACGAGAAGATAATAGTAACAGAGATTTAACAGATAATAACGGGAATAGGGAGGTCATGCTGAGGGGAAATATCAAGTTCTGGAAATAATACAGTAAAGAAACAAAGTAAATATCATGCTTTGAACCAACAGAAATAATAACATAGCGACATGTGCACGGCATCACCCTTCGTACTTTTACGCTCGTCCTTACCATAAGAAACAACAGAAACGGCACTGCATCACCTTTCGTGCATTAACTCTCTCAAAATCATGGTACGATATCACCCTTCGTGCATGAACACTCACATAATATGACACGACATCACCCTTCGTGCATTAACACTCACTCACAATATCGTGCACGACATCACCCTTCGTGCTTTACGCTCTTCCTCACCCAAACAATAGAAACAATAACATCCCGGCAAGGGAATCAGCAATAACCAACCTCGTTTCAACATTTAACTTCACAATATAGATCTCAACTTGAGTCAATACTCAACCAATATCCAAAACAAGGAAGAACATAGTAAAACTCGTTTAACATGAAGAATTAACCATTTAAAGCATGAATAGTACGTATAAAGGAATACAACGGTCACAAGTATAAGACTCACTTGCATGTTATGACCCGACAATAACGTATAAATACTCGTCATCTCACCTGTATGTCGTACTCAACAACTAAATTGCGAACGCAAATTAATTCTACTCACTTGCATGTTAGCCACGACACTTACCTCGATTCCTCGGCCAAACTAAAGCCTCAAATACTGCTTTCCCTTTAGATTCCACATCCAATCCACTCGTATCTAGCCACAATTAATTCAATATCAACAATTATTGCTAAGGGAATCAACTACAATGCACAAATTTAGTTTTCCCAAACCTTTTCCCCATAAAGTCAAAAAATCGACCCCGAACCCCCTTGGTCAAAACTCGAGGTTCAGACCAAAACCCATTCACCCACGAGCCCAAATATGTAATTAGTTTCGGAATCCGACCCCAAATCGAGGTCTAAATCCCCAAATTTGTAAAATCCCCAATTCTCCTAAAATTTCTAATTTCTAACCTTAAAGAACAAGATTTAGGCCTAGAAATCTAATGGGTGTTGATGGAAATTGAAGGAAAAGAGTTGAAGAACACAAACCTATGAATTGGTGTTGAAACCCCTCATCAAAATCGCTCCTAGGTCGAGTTTTTATGAAAGAGTTGTGAGTTTTTGATAAAATCCCGATTCTGATTCTGTTTTTAAAAAGACTGGACATGCCTTCTTCGCGTTCGCGAGACGCAGCGGCCAAAGGCCTTCGCGAGATACCCATCGCGTTCGCGATAGCCTGGTCGCGTTCGCGAATGGTAATGCCACCAATGCTTCGCATTCACGACCAGTGCCTCGCGTTCGCGTAGAAGGATTGCTCCTTCAGACAAATTTACACTTCGCGATACCGAAGCACAAAATACCTGCAACAGCAAAACAACAGAATTCTCTAAGTCGAAAATATCCCGAAACCTATCCGAAACTCACCCAAGCCCTCGGGGCTCCAAACTAAACTTGCACACAAGTCTAAAAATATCATACGGACTTGCTCGTGCAATCAAATTGCATAAATAACACCTACAACTACAGATTTAGCACCAAAATCAATGAAATCCTCCACAATGACACTTACCTCGATTCCCCGACCAAACTCAAGCCTCAAATATCGCTTTCCCTTTAGATTCCACCTCCAAATCCACTCGTATCTAGCCACAATTAATTCAATATCAACAATTATTGCTAAGGGAATCAACTACAATGCACAAATTTAATTTTCCCAAACTTTCCCCCCAAAAGTCAAAAAACCGGCCCCGGACCCGCTTGGTCAAAACTCGAGGTTCGGACCAAAACCCATTCACCCATGAGCCCAAATATGTAATTAGTTTCGAAATCCGACCCCAAATCGGGGTCTAAATCCGCAATTCTCCTAAAATTTCTAATTTCTACCCTTAAAGAACAAGATTTAGGCCTAGAAATCTAATGGGTGTTGATGAAAATTGAAGGAAAAGAGTTGAAGAACACAAACCTATGAATTGGTGTTAAAATCCTTCTTCAAAATCGCTCCTAAGTCGAGTTTTTATGAAAGAGTTGTGAGTTTTTGATAAAATCCCGATTCTGTTTTTAAAAAGACTGGACAGGCCTTCTTCGTGTTCGCGAGACGCAGCAGCCAAAGGCCTTCGCGAGATACCCATCGCGTTCGGGAAGGCATTCTCCCACCAACCTCCGTGTTCGCGATCCAAGTGTCGCATTCGCGATCCAAGTGTCGCATTCGCGATCCAAGTGTCGCATTCGCGATGAGTAACTTTCCCCTCCCCCAGTTCCCACGCTTCGCGTCCGCGATAGCCTGGTCGTGTTCGCGAAGGGTAATGCCCCCCAACGCTTCGCGTTCGTGACTAGTTCCTCGCGCTCGCGTAGAAGGATTGCTCCCTCAGACAAATTTACACTTTGCGATCGCGAAGCACAAAATACCTGCAACAGCAAAACAACAGAATTCTCTAAGTCGAAAACATCCTGAAACCTATCCGAAACTCACCCGAGCCCTCGGGGCTCCAAACCAAACATGCACACAAGTCTAAAAACATCATACGAACTTGCTCGTGCAATCAAATCGTATAAATAATACCTACAACTACGGATTTAGCATCAAAATCAATGAAATTCTCAAGAACACTTAAAGTTTCTATTTTCACAACTGAGGGTCCGAATCACGTCATATAAACTTCGCTTCTCACCAAATTTCATAGACATGACTTAAATATCATATTAAACCTGTACCGGGCTTCAGAACCAACATACGGGCGCGATACCAACAAAATCAAACATTATTAAATTTCTAAAACCCATTATATTTTCAGTTTAACAATTTTCTTCAAAAATTCATTTCTCGAGCTAGGGACCTCGGAATTCAGTTTCGGGCATACGCCCAAGTCCCATATTTTACTACGGACCCTCCGGGACCATCAAATCACGGGTCTGAGTCCGTTTACTCAAAATGTTGACCGAAGTCAACTTAAATTCAATTTTAAAGGCAAAATTTAGCATTTTCTCAAATTTTCACATAAAGGTTTTCTGGAAGCGCGCCCGGAGTGCGCCTGCAAATCGAGGAGAAAGAAAATAAGGTCTTGACGGCCTCGGTACCCCGAATTGATTTCTAAAACACGAGATGACCTTTTGGGTCATCACATGGAGTAACTTAATACAGAAAAATAAGACTTAGAGCCTATTTGGCTTAGCTGAATTTAAGTAGCTTTTGAGTATCAAATGCTGAAAAATACTTTTCAAGGGCGGGAGCTGAATTAATGAATAAGTCGTTATATATTTGGATAGAAGTGTTGAAGCTGAAAAATAAGTACGTGTTATTGTGTTTGATAAAAAAAGTGTTGATACGTAATTTTTCTGTTAAAATACAGACGTTAGTGTCACTAGTGGGAGGGCCATTTGATGCATTGTTCGGAGGAGGGAACTTGCCGGCGTTTGTGGCGGGAGCAGTTGCAGCTGCAGTCAGTGGTATTTTGGCACTCACATTGTTGCCTTCTCCTACTGAGCCATGCCAAACATATCCCCATTTTCGCCGTTGCTTCCCAATGACAAAATACTGGACATCACAAAACAAGTTTTGATCACTAATTTTTTTTCTTTCTTTTTGTGCATAATGCAGAATTAGAGTAACACAGTTTTGAAGGTTTTCCTGCCTTCTGTTAATGGTTGTACAAAATAATGATGTTAGATCGTACTATTAGTATATGTTATTTAAAAGGCTGACAGAGTCCAATTCCTCTCATTCTCTCGCTTCTTTTCCCCAATGTAATTTCTATCATGGTTTAAAGTATTTAAATGGGAAAACGGTATATGAGAAAAAAAGGGCAGTTAGCACCCAACTAACAAGAGAAAGAAAGGGTTTAACTTCTATGTACATACAATGTAATTTATCATTAAAATGTAACTAAAGGTAATAACAATAATTAGCAAATCAAGTTAGTAATCCAAAAAAATAAGACGAATGAATTCTTATAGTAGGTTAAATTGCACTGGTTATACAAAAGTTCATTTATACTATACTTTCAGTGATAAAAGGGCAAGAATTCTTGGATGGATTTCTGGATATCAATTTGTTAATTCCTTTTTTTTTCTTTTCAATTTATGTGATGCACCTTCCATTTCATGTATGACATGTTTTAGACCATACAATTTAAAAGACTTTATTTTTTTCTTAAATTCTATGTCAGTCAAAGTGCATCACATAAATTAGGATGGAAGAAGTAATAGGTTTTAAAAAAGAAGAAGAATGAACTTAAATAGTCATTCACCCAACCACTTAAACTAAAAATAGCATGCGGTTGTGTGTGTATATATATATAATTCATATATAACAGATGTATACCCATATATGATCATTGTACAATTTATGTTAAACAGTAAATTCGACCAACATTTTGGTAAAAGTTCCAAAAAAAAACCCCAAGTGCCTAGACAAAAAAACATAACTTAACATGTAATAATTCTGCTATTAAAAGGAAAAGTTGGCCAGTTTCGCACAAGCAGTACTCCCCCTAAAACACCCCTCTCTAACGGTCACATTTTCAAGATTACATTCTACCCCCCCCCCCCCCAAATCGCTCATTGGGACAAATTCTCTTTGTTTCGAATCAAGAATCTTTGGGAAAACCCAATTTACAGATTGAGTTAGAGAAGAAAATTCCAGTGCTTCATGAAAGTCCAGTATTTTGTGATCCAATTCTAGAAAGAACTACAATGTTCCTAAAGAGTAAAATAAGGAATTACTCTTGAACAGCCCACTCGATGCTGGTAAACCCAGCTGAACTTAGAGAGAAGAAAAAGGAGAGAGAGTTTATTGATTATCTTTCAAAAGCAGAATGAATACAAATCAAGTCTATGTGAGCTCATAAAGGAAGATTAGTTTGGGTGGGAAAGTTAGTTGTAACTAATTTCCGGACCCATGTGTGGAACATGTGCTTTAACTACCCTCTAACTACCTCCTAACTAATTGAGCCAGCTCAACAATTAATCATCATCTATTTTTACTAACTAAGATCGATTTCAATCAATAGAAATGGAAAGTATCTTAATGGGATCATATCAATACCCCGCTCTTCAAAACAATCCTTGTCCTCAAGGATTGAAATGTGGGAACTGCTTCTGAAACTCTAGTAAATCCATCCAAGAATTGTCTTCTGGAGCAGCATTCAGCCATTTGACTAAAACTTGGGTGGCAGGTTTGCCCTCCTTTTGACTAGACGACGATCCAAGATTGCTTCAAGGGCTAAAAAGAGGTGGCCTGAGTTAGTATGAACTATAGGAAGTGTCACAGATGCCACACGAGAGCCCAACTTTTTCTTGAGTTGTGAGATATGGAATGTAGGATGTATCTTGGATTCAGTAGGTAGAGCCAGTGTATAGGCAACTGAACCAACTCTGGCAATTATTTGGAAGAGACCAAAAATTTTTGCTGAGAGCTTTTGGTGAGAGCGATCTCTTAAGGACAACTGCCTATATGGTTGTAACTTGACATAGACCCAATCACTCACTGCAAAAACTCTTCCAGTTCTATGTTTGTCAGCTTGAACCTTCATTCTATTCTGAGCTTGCCCCAAGTGAAACTTCAAAAGTTTAATTGTAGCTTCCCTTGCTTGTAAACTTTTGTCCACTAGTTCCAGCTAAGAGTCGAAAGGCAAATATGGTAATAAGGGTGGAGGCTTCTATCCATAAACCACCTCATAAGGGGTAGTATGAATAGATGAGTGGTATGGTGTGTTGTACCACTATTCAGCTAAGGGCAACCAATGTGGCCAGTCGTTAGGATTGTCAAATATCATGCATCTCAAATAACACTCTAAGCATCGATTGACAACCTCAATTTGCCCATCAGTTTGAGGATGATAGGCAGTAGAAGTGAGGAGAGATACTTTCTGCAGGCTGAATAATTCCTTCCAGAATTTGCTGATGAAGATGGCATCCCTATCTGGCACTATGGACTTAGGTATTCCATAGAGCTTAAAGACTCCATCCATGAAAAGCTGAGCCACATCTAAGGCAGTGTATGGATGTTTAAGTGCCAAGAAATGTGCTGCTTTACAAAGCCTGTCTACCACCACATATATGATCTCCTTGCCAACAGCTCTTGGTAAACCTTCAATAAAATCCATTGAGATATCCTGCCACACTTTATCAGGATTTGGGAGGGGTTGCAGTAGACCAGGGTAGGATGTATTATCACTTTTGTATCTCTGGCATGTGTCACATTCCCTTACAAACGAGTAAACATCTTGTTTTATTTTCCTCCAATAAAATTCCTGTTTCAGCTTGTGCAAGGTTGCATTGATCCCTGAATGACCACCCATAGAACTCTCATGGAAATAGGCTATCAACTTTCTTCTCAAAGCAGCATCAGACCCTACTATCATTTTCCCTTTTCTGCTCAAAATACCAGACTGATACAGGTAGTAAGGTTTAGGAATCTTAGATGATTGGATTTGCTGAATGAGTTTGACCAGGTAAGGATCATTGCTCCAAGATTGTTTGACTTCCTCCAATAGTGTTGACTGAAGACTAGAGATGCTGAATAGCTGCACTGTATCACTTCTTTTGGAAAGTACATCTGCAGCCAAATTCTCCTTTCCCTTTTTTAGAGTATAGTGTAATCATAGCCCAACAGTTTGACTAACCACTTTTGTTGGCTAGGTGTGGTAATCCTCTGCTCAAGTAGATACTTAAGACTATGATGATCAGTTTTTATGTTAAAGTGTTGACCTAACAAATAAGGTCTCCGTTTTTGCACAACAGTGACTAATGCTAGCAACTCTCTTTCATACACAGATAGAGCCTTGTTTTTGCCTGATAACCCTTTACTGAAGAAGGCTATAGGTTTGCCTTCTTGTATCAGAAAAACCCTAATACTTTCTCCTGATGCATCAGTCTCAATAGTGAATTCCTTGGAGAAATCAGGTAAAACAGCACAGGGACAGTAGTTAAGGCTGCCTTCAGTTTCTCAAAAGCTGCAGTAGCATCTTGACTCCATTGGAAATTTTCTTTTTAAGTAAATCATGAAGGGGCCTAGCAATAGTGCCATAGCCTTGAATAAACCTTCTATAGTAGCCTGTCAACCCCAGAAATCCCCTTAGTGCTTTGATGTTGTTTGGTTGAGGCCAGCTTGAGACAGCTTCCACCTTGATCTTATCCATATACACCCCCTCTTCAGAAATAATATGGCCCAAATAATCTATCCTTGTCACTCCAAAATCACATTTGCTCTTCTTCACATATAATGTATTGGTTCTCAAAATATCAAAAATAGCTTCTAAATGCTTTAAGTGATCAGACCATGAAGAACTATAGATAAGTATATCATCAAAGAAGACTAGGATGAATTTCCTAAGATGAATGTGGAATATCTGGTTCATGAGGCTTTGAAATGTGGATGGGGCATTAGTCAAACCAAAAGGCATAACTAGAAATTCATAATGGCCATGGTGTGTTCTAATCGTAGTGTTGTGTATATCAGCTTCAAACATTCTAATTTGATGGTAGCCAAACTTAAGGTCCAGCTTGGAAAAGTACCTTGCTTCATGCAATTCATCCAGTAATTCCTCAATGATTGGGATGTAAAACTTGTCTTTGACTGTGCAATTGTTCAGCTCCCTGTAGTCTACACATAATCTCTAGGTCCATCCTTTTTTAACCATTACAATGGGTGAAGAGTAAGGACTAGTACTGCTTCTGATAATACCTATAGCCAACGTCTCATCCACCATCTTTTCTATTTCATCCTTCTGAACTGCAGGATAGTTATAGGGTCTAATGTTTACTGGTGAGTCCCCCTCTTCAGAACTATTTTGTGATCATGAGTTCTAGAAGGTGGTAACTCAGTAGGGGTCTCAAATAAATCATTGTACTTCTCCAGTATTCCTTGCAATTCCTGGTTATCCCTGTCCTCAACAACCTCTCCTCCCATAGCACAAAGGCTAGCTCCTATTGTCTACTTCTCTTGCACAAACAGTCCCATGGAAATCATACAAAGTTCAGCAGGATTGGCTAACAGCTTGCCCATCCTTCCTAAAGCAATCATCTTCACAACAGGATGTTGGATTCCTATGAGAGATACTTTTTTCCCATTAAAGTTGAACTCCATCTTGAGTTTTTTAAAATTCCACATGATATCACCCAAAGTGATTAGCCATTGGATACCCAACACAATACCACACCCCCAATAGGTAATATCAACATATCTTAATTGAAAGCCACTCCTTGTATCTTCCACTCCAGGTTCTTGTAAATATAATGGCTCTACACTTCACTCCCATTAGCAAGTGATACATTAAAAGGAGCAATAGCAATCATCAAACACCCCAGCTTCTTGGCAATATTGATATCCAGAAATTATGTGTGCTCCCAGTATCAATAAGAATTTGTACATCCTTGCCCGTGACAAAAACTGTCACCCTCATGGTTCTAAAATCATGAATCCCACTTATAGCATGCATTGACACAAGAGGCAAAATGGATCCCTCTTCATCTGTTTCTAATCCCTGGGCCATTATAGTTAAAAGTTCAGCTGCATCAAATATCGCCTCCTCTTCTAATTCAACTGGATCCTGCTGTTCCTCTACCTCCATGTAGAATAAATGCCTTTTATTTTTGCACACATGCCTAAATGTATATTTCTCATCACAGTTAAAACATAAACCCTTACTCATTCTTTCCTCTATTTCAGTAGGTGTTAATAATTTGGGCTTCTTATATATTGTTTTAGAATTTCCCACAGAA